TCACTTGAAACAACGAGATACCACATTACAACCAGTCATTACAAACATGAAATCCCCCATCCCTCCCACTACACCCTACAACATTAATGGTTCCTATACTCATTTGCATTTGCATAGATGCACCTGACTCATCAAACTTTTGACTAACCACTCATTGTAAATATTGTTTAGTGAGGGCGCTATTTACTAATGAGAGGAATCTTTTAAACAAATTGAACAGATATATATATATATATATATATATATATATATATATATATATATATATATATATATATATATATATATATATATATTGTACGTTGGAACCCAGTATATTAGTACATAGTACTAACTGTACAAAGTTTGGTGCGCGGCAACGAAAACCCACGAGATATATCCTAACAAAATACTCGTTTTGAAGACTTATTTGTTTATTTAATAACAAAACTTATAGAATTATATTACAAAATGTAGCATATCGTGTAATATTATATACAATTTTGTATTTAAAGTCGTAAAATTATAAATGTTCTGCCTTGTTTTTTTTTATTTTATCTTATCGTTTTCAGATTTCAACGCATGTTTCTCGAATCCATGTCAGAATACGGGAACATGTGAAGTAGTCGCGGATGAATACATATGCATTTGTACAAATGAGTACATGGGACTACATTGTGAAACAGGTGGGTAAAGTATTATAGTGAAACTGGTCGCTATTTCAACTAGATGCCTCTTTATTATTTTGTCGAATAAATCGATCGAGGACGAACTTTTCTTTACTATAAATTAATAAACGCTGCTTAGACTGATAAATACTATCCCTGATTTTTCCCATTTCGTTTACATTTGCAGTCGGAGGAAACGCCAGAAACGCAGAAGATACACAAGAGTCATGTGCACGATTTACCAAACTGCATAACACGTGAATACTACGTATACGCTACACATTGTCAATAACCAATCAGTGATAAGTTACACACGAAATATATCCTGTTTGTTGCCATGGACATGCACGTTCGAAATCATACACACAAGGACATACAAATAAAAGTTGTATTACTAGTCCGTCTTAAGTCAATGAAATAAATCTTTGTTAGAATAACCTTGCACACATAAATTAAAAACGATCACACACGGAAACTAGTCGTTCAATGTTATATTTAATTTAAACCTCTAAACAGCCATCGACCACTGTGAAACTGATCCATGTCAAAATGGCGGCATATGCCATGATGCGATTGGAACCTACAACTGCGAATGCTTGGAAGACTATGAGGGCGCTCAATGTGAATTAGGTGAGTGTTACTTAGGCAACTTAGGGGAGCGTACCCCTTATACTCTCAGTCTTGTACACTTTTAAGTTAAAGCGCGGTAGTCATCACACTGCGCTTGTGCCACATTTGTGTTGATAAACATTGATTTTTCCATAATCCAATGCGCTCTTCAAATGGAAATCATGAGTATGAGGTTTGACCTGGGCGCGACTTGCACTGATTACCGCCAGTGACTCCTTCGATGCCTTCCAACAACATAAAAATTACCTAATTAAAGCTTAGAAACGTCTCAGTTCGTACTCGTTGATCTGCGCAACAGTCAAAGTCGTCATCTTTGTTTATATGAGACATATATATCTCGCACATGCGCAGCGCGACGACTACCGCGCTTTAACCTGACCAGTTAAGGGTTAATTAAAATCCTATACCTCAGTACTACTGTAAAACATGTTGAAAAAACGGCATGCGATTTTAGCGAATTGTGGTAAAATTACTTAATAGCGAAATGTTGATTTAGCGAATCTCTCTTGTCATTGTTGATTTCTTTGTTTGGCGGCCATTTTGAATTGACAATAAAGTCATTAGTGTGTCGCTAATGTTGAATTAGCGAATCAGTTTACTCACTAAATTCGCGAAAAAGACATGCTCGCGAAAAAGACATGTTTTACAGTATTTCCAGTGTGCACGCCCTCATCGTCCAACTGTGCAAACAAAATCATATTATTGGATTTCCTCCGTAATCTCAAATCTTATGAACACCGTGATAAAATATAAATAATTACATTCTCAGTATGAACAAAATAAAAACAATACTGAAAGAGTTCTCGTTTCGTCACAATTATATTAAATGTTTAAGAACGTATACAAACATCGCACAAATCATTCGGTGTATACTAATAAAACAAGAAAATGTTAAACAAAAAAAAATGTCAAATGACTAAATAAGCTTTGGAAAACATAGATTTTCAAATTTGTATAACTTGTGAACGTTGCCAGTACAGTATCACACCAGAAATCTGCGCAGAACCAGAATAAACATTATTAAGAATGGCGCATGTTTCTCTTTACCAGATATGAATCCTTGTCATCAAGATGATATATGTTATGGTGGACTGTGCGTACGAACGGATGAAGATCACCGTTGTGAGTGTGATGCAGGTGAGAATACTATTGAATATGGATACCACCCGCAGT